TCTTTTAAAAAAATATTTTTATTGATTTCAGAGAGGAAGGGAGAGGAAGAGATAGAAACATCATCAATGAGAGAGAATCACTGATTGGCTGACTCCTGCATGTCCCCTACTGGGGATCAAGCCCGCAACCTAGGCATGTGCCCTTGACCAGAATTGAACCTGGGACCCTTCAATTTGCAGGCTGACGCTCTATCCACTGAGCCAAACCAGGTAGCAACAGATTTGACTTGTGAATTTAAAGATCACTGGCTAATGCATGGAAAATTGACCAGAATTGGTCATAGCATTCTTTTTGCAGTGCTAACTATGTCATGCACGGTTCAAAGTAAATCATCTTAATCCTCAGAATAACCCTGTGAAATGGGTACTATTCCTATTAATAGACAAGGAAACCAGAAGGGTTTAATTAGTCCTCGTAGCCTAGCAAGTGAACACATTTCGTATCGCTCAGGAGTTTTCTCGTGTTTCACGCGCCATCTGTTAAGGACCACTCACGAGTGTTCGTTTTTCACGCCCATGGAAAAAGGAGCGAATCTAGATATTTACGTAAATTTTGTTTGGTCCCTCTTCACAGAGGAAAATGTTTTACGCAGTACCATACGTTAAAAAAGTACTAGGAACTTTGTTTGTTTTTGTCAATAAAAATGTTATAATTATTGAAAAACAACACCTGAAGTGCATTATGATGATTTAAATAACGTGCAGTTTGCCCAAAAACGTGCGGTTCCTGTTGTGTGTATTAGAGATTTCTATGCGGTACGCAATGTGTTAAGTGGTAGAGTCCCTGGATTGGAACCTAAGCAGTCTGACAAGAGGGCCCTAGCCCTTAAGTCAGTACCGTAAGGCCTATTCAAAATCATGGAGCTGTGGATTTAGTTGAAGAACCCGAGACTGAATCCTGAAGCTACTCCAAAATTTTAAGTTAGGCAGAGGATTGGGGAGCCAGCAATGGAGACTGAAAAGCAATTAGACAAAAGGATAACAGTGGAGCTATAGTTAGATGTCTGTTGAGAGAAGAAAATGTTATCTAACAAGACAAATCAACTAGGGAATTCTGCTGAGGGGTTAAAAGAAAAAGTGACCTTGATAAGAGCTATATGACAGCCAGAGACAGCCCGCCAGGAATGGGCTGAGGACAATGGGAGGTGGGGAAATGAAGGCAGCAATTATCAAGAACTGTTGGGAGATATACCTCTCACCTTGCAGATACTGTGGGTTTGGTTCCAGACCACTGCAATAGTGAGTACTGCAATAAAGCGAGTTGTATTTTTTTTGCTTGTAAAGGATCTTGCCTTCAATTTGTAAAAAACCTGACATTTGTGAAGTGTAATAAAGTGAAGTGCAATAAAATGAGGTATGCTTGACTGCTTTGAAGGAAAACAGGAAAAATAGGTGATATTTGGAGAGAGATGTAGGTTCAAGAGGGATTTTTCTGATTATTTTTGAAATAATCTTGATTTTAAGTAATGCCTGTTAAGTTGATGGGAATGGTCATTGAAATCAGATGTGTCATAATGTGAACTTGGTATATAAACTCACCTAAGAGGAAAAGTACCACTCTATCAACTGCTTCCCTTATTAGCATTCTAGTACACAAAATTCCTAAGGAAAAGAATTGGAGAAAATTAGCTCATGAGAAACATTACTTACTTATATTCATTTTCGACCATGCTTTCCGGGTCTGCCTGTTCAATGGCTTCTTCAAAGAATTCCTCCAAAGTTGGCATATATTCTCTGGATGTTAAAAAAAAAAACTAGTGAGGATTCTAATGTTATTCACACTTGACTTACAGTTAGATTACTTAGGATATCAAAATTTTAAGGAGATAAATGACTCAAAACAATTTAAACTTCTTAAAGGGGACAAAAAAGAGGGCAATGTGGCATTTACGCCACTATGCACTAGGTAGTGAAGCACTGTATTATGAAATGTGACACACTGTATCATACAATAATGTACGCTGATGTTACTAGTCACAGAGGGCAGCCAGGGGTTTACTAGCATTTGAATTTCTCCAGCAAGCAGGAAATTTTCACATTATGTCCACACATGGATGTTTTCCCTTTAAACCAGAATTAAACCGAAAATAATAGCCAGACATACTGAGATTTCAAGAACTTGGAGCTTTTTAGATTGCTGCCATGGTAACATGGCTTTTGAAAAATTTTTTTATTGATTTCAGAGAGGGAGAGGGAGACAGAAACATCAATGATGAAAGAGAATCATTGATCGGCTGCCTCCTGCATGCCCCCTACTAGGGATTGAGCTCACAACCTGGGCTCTACTGAGCCAAACCAGCTAGGGCACATAGTTTTTAATTGCATCTTCTTGAATTTGTCTTCAGAAATAAAAACGTGAGACAAAGTCAAGTAAGATCTAAGGATCTGATCAGAAGACATCTTTTTAAAACATGAGAAAAGTGAGCTCTCTGAAGAAAAATTAAGCATAAAATCTAATGACTTACTGGAATGTAACATGCTCTGTAACTGGTGGACATTAAAGGCCTGTAAGGTTGCTTTTGAGTTTACCATCCCTCTTCTACACATCACACTAGATAAAACAGGGTTCACTCTAAAATTCCAACCAGAACATCATAAATGTTTGAAACCATTTGCTAGTTTTGTAATAAACACTGCAGGTTTTTGCCTTATCTTCTTTAAGACTTTCAAATGCTACAAATACAGTTGAGTGCCCAAGCACCCCTCCTTAATCTCATCTTCTCCCCCCATCGGTAGCCATTCTTTAGAATTTGGTGTTTATCATTCATGTGCTGCTTTTTCTAAAAAAAATTAAGTATATGTTGTTTTGAATCTTTTCAAATTTTCAATTAATGGAATTCAGCTTGTACCCGCCTACAACCCTGATTTATATTTTATTTGCTTGAATTTTCTATATTTACTTATTCCTCAACTTGTTTCTTTTACATACTTAGCAAGCATGCTTTACTTGAAGTCTAGTTGTTATCTCTATCTTCACCTGTAACATTAATTCTGATCACTCCTTATATTAAGGTCACTTTTCATCAAGTATGTTAGTTCCACCTTTTTAAAATACCCCCAATTAGTAATATTACTGCTTTATACAATGAATCTGATGAGACTTAATCATATTTACTAATGTCTTTGCATAGCAATCCTTGCAACTTCACATTGTTTTGGGGTTCAACTTCTGACAGGTTTTTAAAGATTGCTGATGACAGATTCTCAGTTTTAATCTGAAAGTAACTCTCTCTCTTGACTAACCAACCCACTGTTTAACTTATATAGAATTCAGAGTCCATGCTTTCAACACCTTGAAGTTATTCCACTGTCTGTGGTTCCTTTTGGTCTTGAAATCTGCCATCAGCCTGATTTTGGGCTCCTTTGAAGGCAGTCTGGTTTTTCTCTCTGGTGACTTTTTTACAATGTGTAGAGATAAGGATTTATTCTGTTTATCCCACTTAAATCTGTACCACATGAACCTGAGAATTTATGCTAATTCTTGGTCCTGAAACAAAAATTCTGTCATTATGTCCTTGATTACTGCCTCTTTCCCATTCTCTTACTATTTCCTCCTTCTATTAGAAGTCTGTTGGACCTTCTCATTCTGTGTTTCTTGACTTTTTCATATTTTCTAATTCTTGATCCCTCTGTACTGCTTTCTGGGTGATTTTTTAGATCATTAATCCTATTTCACCTGTGTCAAGCCTGCTATTTTTACCTGCCTATTTTGTAATTTCAATGACTTAATAATGTCATGTTTCTTTTATATCTTTAATTACCTTAAATATACTTATTGTAAGGCTTAATCTGATGTTTAACTTCTGTGGCTTGTTCTGTCTGCTGACTCTTACTCATGGTGAATGGTCTTCTTGAATGTTTTGTTAAGTCTGGATGGTGAAATTCAGATTTTTATCTGCAGGATCCTTGGCTTAGGTTGAAGATGTGACCTCCAGAAAGCCCAGGGCTCCTTTACATTGCTGGCAGGATGTATTTACATGTAAGAGCGCATGGCAGCAGACTTGTTATAGTCATTTCTCAGGAATACTTTTCCTTTTTGCCCACAGCCTAGATCGTAATGAACAAGCTTTCTTGTTTCCTGTACCAATGGACAAGTCTCCCCATCTCCCACTCTGCCCTTCTTTTACAGAAAATGAATGTAGTGCGTCAAGAGGCTCAGCTCTATTCAGGGGAACTCAGTTACAAATTCATGCAGGCCCAAGGCCTTACCTTCTGTCATTTTGTGGCTATTAAAACCCAAGTTCCCTGGTTCCCAAAAGTGGGAATCATCTGTACTGCCCCTGAGCTAGAAGTAACCACAGAATTAGGTCATACCTTGGTTTGTAGTTCCTTCTATTTTTGCGAATTCTTATTTTCTTGTGATTTCTAAAATTATTGTGCCAAAGTCAACCACAATTTTTTGAACTCTCCTGGTAGCTGACTAAAGGCCATTCTACTCAACATTTGAGAAAAGCAATACTTAATGTGAAACATTTGAAACTTACCTTGTGTCTGATTTACAAGCTTCCATATTATCAGGGCAGAGATTCCAAAGCCTTGTTAACTCCTCACTGAAAAACAGACACATAAACAAATACATTTTTAATGGACACCATCCTCATATATCTAAAGTTATAAAAATACTTAAAGTTAAATAGTGGAGTTTTAATTATCTTCACTAATTTTTGGTATTTAGCAAATTTTCTATATGAGCATATACTGAATGACAATAATTACTTCTTTTCTAAAAATATTCAAGCACAATATAAAGCAGTTTGCAGTTAACTAGAAGGTAATGGAAAGGACTGTGTTATTTTGCAACAACTAGAAATGAGCTGGATCAATGCAACTGTATTGTCTATGATGTGGTAAAAATGTCATAGCCTTGGATTTTTGAAGCAGGAGACATAATGGAAGTACTAGCATGTGTACTTGCATGAACCACATAATGGGCCTATAGATTGATAGGGGGTATTTTGCTTTAGTCATCTATGTATATACCAAACACTTAAAAAACTAGACAAACACAAAAATTGGAGAGGTCTTATAGTAACATCTTCAAAATAAAAAAATAACTAGTAACATTCCACATACGGAGACAAGATAACCTACTTTCCCATCAGAATCTTTTTGTTGGGCCCTTTCCCCAGGAAGTCCTCTGGTGCTGTTCTCTTTCGTACTGCTCTTGTTGGCTTAGTATCTGATGTTCTGTGGTGAACAAAACATACTGGAATTACAAATGGACAACAGAAATGGAAGTGTTTAATGTAAAAGAAAACATTGTTTTCTTAAAAAGATGAAAGCTTATTATTATTATAGAACACTCATCAGATAAAAGACAAAAATGCCACACCATGGTACAAATAATAAGTGGGTATACAAATTTTTTTCGATAATTAATAATACATCAATTTGTTCTGGGAGCTTAATTACAAGAAATTCGAGATGAAAATTTCACATAAAATAAATTGGAGTGGTTATATTATTATTGAGCTCAACTTATTTTTTTTAAACCCTCATCCAAGTATATATTTTTTCCATTGATTTTAGAGAAAGTGGAAGGGAGGGAGAGAGAGAGAAACATGGATGTGAGGAAGACACACATTGATTGGTTGCTTCCCACATGCTCAACTGGGGCCAGTTATCAAACCTGCAACCCAGGTACGTGCCCTTGGCCAGGAAACAAACCTGTGATCCCTCGGTCTATGGGCCAACGGTCTACCACTGAGTCTCATTGGCCTGGGCTTAACTTACATTTTTATATGAAATACATATACACCTATCTCTACATAATAGAATCACATCAAATTATATTTTAATATTTCTCATATTGCTTCAGTATATATTTACCTTTCTTTCACAAAACTTGGGCAGCCTTCATTTTTCCATGAGTTCCAGTTTTCTTCAGTGTTTAATATATGCTGAGAAAAACAAGTTACATTTGAATAATGGGAGCTTCTAAAATTCTATTTGGTTCTCAGAAAACTAAATATAAAACACATACCTCTACCATCTTTGAAAATCTTTCTCCATCGGGTGGGTTTTCAGATAGCAGCTGTGATTAGAAAGAATATACTAAGCTTTCAACAACTTTCTGCATCATAGGAGTGGTTTGTAGGCAGAGAACCAGGAAGTGTTTGTGGTCTTGTACCTGAGCTTAACTTTATCCTTATTTTCCTATTTGGGGCTGAAACAAAGAAAATTCTAAATTTCCATTTTGTTCAATCATAGGTTTGTTGCGTGTTGAACTTACTTGATAAACTGATTTTGTAGTATCTTCAATCCAGAGTGACTGCTCATCAGTTAAAACATAGTTTGAACTACGGAACAAAGCAATAAAAGCATGCTTGAGTTAACAGATTCAATGTACATTCAATTTTAAGGTTTACATTCTTTTTGAAAAAACACAAGACATGTAACAGAAAAATCATAATATAAAAAGTGTCAAAAATTACCAAGACAAGAACAATCACAAATGAGATAATTATATGAGAAACTTCTTGCATTTCATCCTCAAGATGGTTAGAATTGAAGACATGAAAGTATAGAGGAGACTAAAACATTCAATTAACTTGATTAAATATAAACAGAGCAGTGAATGTTTCCTAAAATAATAAGTTTAATGTGGGGTGAAAACCTCTGAGAGATATTAACCTATTCCTCTCCATCAGGGGTGGGGAGCATCTGGCCTTTGGGCCATATAAGGCCCACAAAATCATTTGGTCTGGCGCTGCCAAGGCATTAAGGATAAGTTAATTACATGTTTGACCAAATATAGCAGCTAATTTTTAAGTTGATAATTTTGTATGACCTGTGAATGATGTTATAAATATCCAAATTGGCCCTCAGCAGAAAAAGGTTCCCCATTTGTGCTCTAAATGATGCACATTCAGATAGAGCATGCTGCATTCTTTTAAAATGCATTCCAAATATAGTGAATAAAAACCCCAAGCCCTAAAGAAGGCAGAAAGCAGACCCAAATTATTAATAGTTGGCATTAGTTCAGCTCTATGTATTAGGTGCTTTATGGCCAATCGATAAATATTAATAGACTACCATGTGCCAAGATCTGAGCACTTTACATGCATTACTCATTTAATTCTCAGAATGAGAAGGTGTGCATGTTAAACAGACTTTAGCGATTCAATGATTTGCCCAAGGCCATAGAGCTTGAATTCAAATCTAGATTCGGCTTTAAAAAGCCCTCGATCTTTCTCTATGCTATACCAAATCTCCACAACAAACAGAAGGATAAGAAAGAACATTTCTGAGTGCTTGATACGTGTTATCTTAAAATTACAAGTCAGAAAGAGCTGAACTGCCGCTAGTGAGTAATGAAAGTGGAATCTGAAACCAGCAGGCAGTAAAGTCATGTCTTTACACAACTACCCTGGTAATATAATACTTCTTTGCAAGTATTTACACCTTTTCTCTAAAACAAATATCCTAACATCTAGTCTAAATAAAAGCTCAATTATCTAATGTTGCTGCAAAAGAAATATTTTAGGGATGTGACCGTTATACATAAAATGAGCCCAATACAGAAGAAAAATACATCAAGTCCTTCTCTTTGTGGTTTATAAACTACTATCCATTTATTAATTTATACTTACCTTTTGAATTTCACCTGTCCCTTGAGATATTGGAATAAAATGAGATACTGCAGTAGGATGTGTCGGCGAAAGTTACTGTCACTCAGTTGTAAATCCATCAACTACTCGAAAAACAAGCAGATACATAAAACACACTAAATTAAAATTTTGCCTAAAGGTACAGGTTGTTGTTACAGAAATGAAAGATTTCAATTCAAAAAAACATTTGCTGAAGGCATTACCGCACACGAGGCATTACTGCAAAAGCCCCAGGACAGAATGGCAAAAGCTTCATTTAGATTTCTATCAATTTATGTCCTGACATATTTGTGTCGGTGGATAGCAATGTTATATTTATGGTCCTGAAGTCAGAATAAAGGCAGAAATATAAAAAAGCAAAAGGCTGCCACTTTCCCATTTATAAAGATATAGTGGTAAGAGCCCTGCTGGAGTGGCTCAGCTGGTTGAGAGTCCTTGCATCAAAAGGTTGCTGGTTTGATTCCCAGTCAGGGCACATGCATTTGTTATAAAATAAGTCTACAAAACAGACTTAATGCAGAACAACCTCTTTCATCATAGAAGCCAAATTAGTCTTACTTGTACAAGGAAGAAATAGGACTCTAAAACTAACATTTGTCAGCTTTAACCAAAAGTAAGAAACATTTCTATTGAACTTAGATTAAGAAGTATATCAATTAAACAGAAAAAAAATATTTTTATTATGCTTAGTGAGAGGTATACCTTTTCACTTGTTAAAAATTTTGCAAAATATACATGTTCTCCTCCTGTTTTTAATTCTTCCATCTTTTTTCTTGAGGCCTGAGTATCATCTAATTTATAACTCTTGAAAACAGCCAGAACTTCTTCTGAGTACTGCAGAGTAAAAATATCAATTAGTTAAACTTGCCATTGTTGCCCAATAATTTGTTTAGTGCTTTTCTGTATCAGAATATCTAGAATTCATTCCCAGTTACCATACATGCATGTGGTAAGGCAAATTAAGAAAATTATGATAGCAAAATGAGGGTAAAACTATTTTGTAGATTTATGGTACTGTAAAAGTAGGAATAAACTCCTCTGGATGAAATGTGATTTCTTATGCAGTGTGTGTAAAGGGCAAGCCGAGAAAGGAATGCTTTGAGAGTATATAGAAATTTACCAGTGAAATTAGTTATTTAGCCACCTATGGAAGCTCTTAACCATTTCTGTGCTAAAGACTGTGACCAAATGAAACAATGATGTCACACCCTATCCAGTTGAGGGGCAATTCCAGATGATTCCTCACTCATCATTTAACCTGAATTGAAATGTTGGTCAAAAAAAAAAATGCGTCTAAAATAAAAACTTAAAAATAACACAGAACATATACCATCCCATTTTTAAGAGCTATTGACCTTAGATTTTGATTATTTAAAAAAAGGACAACTGATCTGTAAGTAGCCAAGAAAAAAGAAATATAGAGAATTCTTATAAAACAGGGCTTAAACTTTTTCTGTAAAGGTTCAGAGAATAAAATAAGTATTTTAGGTTATATATATATATAGCTCTTATGGTCTCAGTTGCAAGTACTCATCTGCTATCATAGCCACAGATAATGAACAAATGAGTGTGGTTGTGTGCCAATAAAACTTTGTTCACAAAAATAGGCAGTAGCCTGGATCTGGTCCAAGGCCATAATTAGCAGACCCCTGTTCTAACAAAAAAGCTGAAATAGTTTTGTGCAAAGTACAGACAGAATGTATTCTGCAAAAATTTTATCAATTCATGTTGATAATACTACGTTATAAAAATTACTGACTTTTAAATTCTCATCATTTATAATCATGTTTAAGTATCTACAATTTAGCTTCTGTATATTATGAAATAGATACAAAAACATAAGAGGTAGCCCTGGCTCGGTAACTCAGTTGGTTACAGCCCAATACCAAAGTAGTGGGTTCAATCCTCAATCAGGATACATATAAGCAATCAATGAATACATGAATAAGTGGGACAACAAATCAATGTCTCTTTCTCAAATCAATAAATAAAAATTTTTAAAAAGGAACTGGTATAATTATATAGTGAAAAGTATTCTGGACAGAGTCAAGATTTGGCTCTGCCATTAGTTATAAAATATTGGACTTTTGGTAGTCTGGGATTGGCGACTCACCTTGAGAAAAGTTTTCCATGAAATCTTCTCATAGCATTGCACAGGGTTCCTGAAGTAATCCTGAAGTGACCAGAATTTTCGATACAGGTTGTAATCAATTGGAATGGAGCTAATAAAATAAATGATATATAAATAATATAAGTTCTCTTAAAAATATATAAATGCTTTTAACTTTTCTTGGGTCACAAACTCTTTTAAGAAGTTGGTGAAAACTACGGTCTGTTTCCCCAGAAAACTGCACATTCATAAATATATCATAACTAATTTCAAGTGAAATTAATAAATAGACCCTCCTTTATCTATAGTGATGGAATCCTTGAATTTTGGTTGGATGCAAGATTATGTTACTAGTACAAATCTAATATCAATACACACTTATAAATTTTAAATTTATAAGCAATCATTATACTATAGCATGTTTTAACTTTAATGTTAAAACACTTTTCAGACTTTTTAAATCCATGAGATTTTTTTTTAACAAAATCCTCTACATCATTTAAAACAGCAATGAAGCCTTTTAGTATAATCCATATGTAAAAACTGCTTGAGATATTAAATACTGCGTATCCCAAATATCTATAAAAATGTTCAATATTATTGCTATAAAATTAATTTTGTCTGTAATCACAATTGTGTACTTCATTCTTTCTAAATAAACCTTAATTGAACCAATGGATTATAGTTAGTTTTCCTCTAAGCTTCATGCCCATACAAATATTCTAAGTAAGACTGCAATTTAATATGGGAAATAGAACATAGGTTTGGTGATCCACACAGTCCCATGATCTTAAGAGTCCTGCCATCTCTATTCTGCTGAATGACCTCCCAAGTTAACCTCCCATTCTTCATCTTTAGGATGGATATATCAAAAATTACCTTTCCTGATGACTAGGGAGTATCAGAGACATTTTATAATGCTTTTGAAAGGATTATAGTAAAATCAAGTGAGTATAATTTTTAACATCTACTAAAAAGGTTTATTTGGAGGGGGGAACTAATGTTTAAAAGAATGAAAAATGCCTTAGTTTCTTTGTATATAAAATAAGAAAGAGTGAAAAAGTATAAGATAATTTGCTAGTGTAAAATTTAGTTTCAGAAGTCTGAAAAGTTATATTAGTGACCTAAGAAAAAACAAGGGGAAAAGTATTTTAGTAAAACATATGGTAGCACATTTGATAAAAAGCTCACCACAGGACTTTAATTCATATGGTTAAGAAGACAAACTGCAAGTCAATATCATAAAATATCCATTTAAAGAATAATTTTATTAGTTTGAATTGACATCAAGTGGAATAACACTTCAAAAACAACAAACTCATTGAAAATCACAATAGTAACACATTACATCTTTCATTCACACTTCTGACAACTTAGCTGCCTGGAAAAAAGCTGTGAACTTGGAAATAATTGAAAAAGTCCATGATTTGCAAAAAAAAATTGCAGTCACAAAGTTCATGCATTTTATTTTATAAAAGACTAGAGGCCCAGTGCCAAAAATTTGTGCACTCGGGGGGGGCGAGGGGGGGGGAGAGGGGTACCTCAGCCAGGCCTGTGCCCTCTCGGTCTGGGACCCCTCAGGGGATGACCCCCCGCTCCTCAGGTGATTGGGCCTAAGCTGGTAGTCAGACATCCCTTTGGCAGCCGGGGAGCCCTTGGAGGATGTCCACTTGCCAGCGGGGAACAGGCCCAAACTGCAGTCGGACATCCTAGTGCTGCTGAGGAGGCAGGAGGGTCCCCACTGGGGTGCCTGGCCAGTCTGGGTGAGGGGCTGAGGGCCGTTTTCAGGCTGGCGGGGGACTGTAGCTCCCAACCTCTCCTTTTTTTTCTTTTTATTCTGGTATTTATTTACCCTCTATGGCTGTCACTGGAATTGACAGCCGGCTTTAGCTCTGAGGCTCGGCTCCAGCTCTGAGGTCTGGCTGGCTGAAAGCAGGTTTCTGGGTTTGTTTAGCTTCTGTAATTGCAACATTGTTTCTTAGAGTGCAGCTCAGAGGCCGGTAGCAGCAGGCAGGGAATGATGGCTTCCTCCATCACTGGAGCAAGCAAGCCTCCTGTTGCTTCAGCTGCATGGCTGCCGGCCGCCATCTTGGTTGGCAGTTAATTTGCATATTGCCCTTATTAGCCAATGTGAAGCGTGTCGGAGATACAGTTAATTGCCATGTTTGTCTATTATTAGATAGGATACTTGAAGTTATTTCTCTATATAAAACCCTAATATGCAAATAGACCAAACGGCACAACAACCGATCACTATGACGTGCGCTGACCACCAGGGGGCACATGCGGAACATGGCAGGTGTCAGCAGCAGGCGGCAATGTGTGGAACACGGTGGGCATTGGCTCCAGCGGGATAGTGGAGCAGGTTAGCGGGGCGCCAGACCAAGGCCATGAGCTGGTCACTGTCATTGGCGTGAGCCTCTGGTGATTATTGAAAATTCTTTTGCTCCTGCATGCCATGGTCCGCTAGGTGCTCACACCCGCTGCCTGGTCGCCCCTCGAACCCACTGATGGCATTGGCCACGCTTGCACCCACTGCTGGCGCGGGCCCCAATCACTCTGTGCCACTAGTGGGTGCAAGTGGGGCCGGTGCCGTCAGCGTGTGGGAGTGGTGGCAGTGGGAGCAGGACTGCCAGCAGACAGGGTACTGGGGGCCTCGGCGGGAGGGGCTGGGCGGGGATGCGGAGGATGGGCTGAGACCCACTCCTGTGCTCACAGCAGCCTCGTGGCCCACAGTTCCTTTCAAGGTGCACGAACTCGTACACTGGTCCCCTAGTCGTATATAATAAAAGTCTAATATGCTAAGTGTCAGGTCAACCACTCAACCAATCAAAACACAATATGCTAATGATATGCTAAGGCAGCTCAACTGCTCACTATGATGCGCACTGACCACCAGGGGGCAGATAGCTGACCAGTCACTATGGTGTGCACTGACCACCAGGGGGCAGATGCTCTGAGCGGTAGGTTAGCTTGCTGCTGGGGTCCGGGCGATCGGGACTGAGCAAGACAGGCCAGACACACTCTGGAGCCCTCCTGTGGTTCCACCCTGGCTGGCCAACCTCCCATGTCCCTCCCAGGCCCCTATTGTGCACTGGTGGGGTCCCTCAGCCTGGTCTGCACCCTCTTGCAATTTGAGATCCCTCGGGGGATGTTGGAGAGCTGGTTTCGGCCCGATCCCCCAGGCCAGGCTGAGAGACCCCACTGGTGCACAAATTTGTGCACTGGGCCTCTAGTGCTTATATACTCACCCAGATTACAATGGCTTTGGATTATGTGTAAAGTTAGATAAATAATTTAGCAAGTTTAGCTAATTTCGATAATGTTAACTGCTAGAGTAACTGCTAATATCTCAAGCATGTGGATCTTGCTTCAAATCAATAATGAAGAATACTGACAACTTTTAATTGATAAAAACCTAGCCTCTGCCAAAAGTTTTGTCAAGAACCAGCAATATTCCAAAGAATCTAATGGGAGTGTTAACTTTTGCTTTTTCTAAGCTCTTTCCTAATATCAACTCTGAAAACAGGAAAACAATTATCTGAACATCAACTTCTTTCTATAATTAAAGCAACATTAATGGTTTACAAAATAAGATTATAGGTATGAGTTTTCTCTGGGTCAAATTAAAAAGAAAGAAAAGCCACAGAACATTTCCCAAAATGTGAAAGTAAAATGGAATAAGAAACAGCTATATAAATTATTTGTATTCATGAAACAATACAATATTTAACATTTGTATAGTTCTATGCACTTCATAAAAAAAGCCTACTCTATCCGGAATGCATATGAACAAATAAGTCTCAAAAAAAAATCCAAAAGACAAAACACTATATGTAATAGCTACAGGACACTGAATAAATACTGTCCTAAGTGCTTTACATATATCACTCTATGCAACATCAATATATACAGTCATAATAAGGATAACAGATCACTTCCAAATAGCATCTCACTTAATCTCAACTAAAGCAGATAGACGGCATCACGACATTTTTAAATACTCTGAAACTGAGTTGCTGGTAGGTTAATAGTTTGTTCCAGGTTATATCAGTAGTAAATACAGGAATTATGCCTGGAGCTACGCTACTTTCAACATTCCTTGGGGCTATGTGTTTGAATTTGAAATTTGGGATTAAAGGAATATATCTCCTTGTACAGATATAGAAACCCTTTCTAGATCTTCAGGAAATCTTTCAATTGCAACTGATGATGATAACTATTTTAAAGAATGCTAGTGAAAGTGTTCCTGTATAATTTCATGTTTCGCTTCCTCATTGCTTCTAACCAGTACTAAAAAGAAATTATTTGGAGGGAAAGCATAGGGTTATAGAGGATGAAATAAGAGACAGTGACAGAAGGGGAGCAGAAGGGAGGAGGAGAGAGAAAGGAACTTTCTTATCTCTCCTATTTCATTAAATAATCAGGCTCAATATCCACAGGTATTGAGTCCACAAAGCTGAATGGAAGGGAGAAGGGGAAGAGGACCTAGGTTGCTTATGCTTGGCCTTTTAAATGTTATGAACACGTATAAAATAGGCTGCGTAAACAATGAACCGTCTGCACACACAATTTAGAAACTATTGGATACAGCCCAGTAGTAATTGGAATTTATAGTTTTAAGTAATTTACATGAAAGTTACAAATAAATCTACAAGCATGATTTCCTTCATCTTTGTCTACATTCTCTCTCTAGAACTCGGTAAGTCATTAGGTATTAACTTTGTAAATCAAGAAATCTGGACTAAAAACTCACCAAGTTGTTGGAGCTTCATCATCACCCATTTCACCTTCTTCTACATCCATTCCTTCTTCTCTATCTTCAGCGTGCTAAGTTAAAACAAAACAAAACAAAACAGTACAGCCTGTTGTGAAGCAGTTGTCAGGCAGAAGGTAAATGCTGGAATGTCATTCACACAATGCTAGAAAATCATTAGTAGAAAAGTCTAGTCATAGTAACTATCTAGGCCTATAGTTAATCTTTAAGGCAATGTGAATTTTATGCAACAGGGATCTGAGAACTCAAGACCAGTATGACAATGATATAGGATAGCTATGAAAACAATGTGAAGTTTTAAACCAGTATTCTCCAAACATAGTCAGTAGATTCTCTCTAGGAATAAAGAATGTATGGCAAAATACCTTTTGGAAATATATACAACGACCTTTTAGAGAATTGAGAAAACCATTAGTATATTAAGGACTCTAAGAACTGTAGTAAATAAAGTGAACTTAAGTAGTTTTAATCTCCAACTTCAATTTGACTATGGAAATCCTCCCTGATTCCTACACAGAACACTTATTAATCTGGGAACATGACAGGATATGCTGTGTGTCCAGCTCTATATTGAAAATTCAAAATAAGTTCACATGGAATAGTCCAAGAAGTACCTAAAAGATATATAAAGGTGAAGGACAAGATTTCGAAAAAACCTTAAGCAAAGCCAACATCACTTCCAAACTGATAATGGTTTTATACTTTAAGTAATAAATTACATAAAGTAGTCATTAATCTACAGTGAGATATTAGTTTTATCTAATAATTTTTAAAAATTTTAACTGGCTTCTAAATGAAGAGGAGGTGCTGAATGACCAGGAATTTCCCAACTCTGGGACCGTCTTCTGGATATATCATAACCTTAAAAAAATCAGTGGGCAATCAATGGATTATTTAACAAATGGTTCTGAGATAACTGGATTATTTGGAAAAAAATAAAATAACTCAATTTATTTTAAATAATATGTCTGCTGGGTTAAAAGGAAACAACAAAACCTTAAATGCACCAGTAGAAAACAAAGGGGTTGAATCTTATGGAGGAGAAGATTTAAACATGACGCAAGGCCAGAAATAATAAAACAAAGACCAACAAATGTTAATATTATAACCAAATAAAAAAGTTCTATACAGCAAAGACTTCATAAAGTTACAAGTAAAAGTATAAACTGAGAAAAATTCTATCAACATATGGTAGGCAATTAATATTCTATATAAAATATTCTATAAAATGAGTTTTTACACATCAGTAAGAAAAAGACTGCCGAAACCGGTTTGGCTCAGTGGATAGAGCATTGGCCTGCGGACTGAGGGGTCCCAGGTTCGATTCCGGTCAGGGGCATGTGCCTGGGTTGCGGGCACATCTCCAGTGGGAGATGTGCAGGAGGCGGCTGATCGATGTTTCTGACTCTCTATCTCTCTCCCTTCCTCTCTGTAAAAAATCAATAAAATATATATTAAAAAAAAGAAAAAAAAAAAGAAAAAGAAAAAGACATTTCACAGTAAATTGGGCAAATGGCAAAAATAGGCAATTCTCTTTCTCAAGGCTTCAAACCAGCACAGAAGTAAATTCCAATCAACAAGCAGTAAGTTCCTCGATGTTATTAACCAAGGAAATAAGTTAAAATAAAGACGACTTACTTTTTAAGTACACAACAATTAAGCAAAGATTTTTTAAAAATTGGTAATTCCCAGGACTGCTGTGAGGTGGTGCGAAAATGGGCAGGCATTCTCTATGTGCCACTGGTGATAGTATCAATGATTAAACCCTCTTTGAGTAAGTAACTGGGCAACATCCATCAAAATCTGATATATGTATTATTTAGACATAGCAATTTCACTTATTAAACTTTATCTTACAGATACACCTGTATAATATAGCAATATTATTCACTATAATGCTGTTAACAATTTTTCACTTTTAGACATTATCTAAATGCCACTGTCAGGATTGTTATACATCAAAAGATTTATCAAAAGCCATGAACACTGATATACATATAAACATACTGATGCAAAAATGCATCCAATTTTTTTACTACTTGAAAAGAAGAAAGTGAATTTCAGAACAGTATGTAGTGTGTGACTTCATTTTTGGAATAAAACTACATTTATATAAAAAGTCTCACGAGGTTAAACAGAGAATGTTAAATTAAGAGTGGTTATCTTTTGGGCTTTGGATTATGGGGTAGCTATACTATTTTAAATATTTCTATTTGTTTGCATTTTTATTTTTTAAATATATTTTTATTGATTTTTTACAGAGAGGAAAGGAGAGAGATAGAGAGTTAGAAACATCGATGAGAGAGATACATCGATCAGCTGCCTCCTGCACATCCCCCACTGGGGAAGTGCGCGCAACCCAGGTACATGCCCTCGACCGGAATCGAACCCGGGACCTTTCAGTCCGCAGGCCGACGCTCTATCCACTGAGCCAAACGGGTTTCGGCTGTTTGCATTTTTAACAGAGAATACATATTATTTCTATAAATTGAAAATAAAGGTTTTTAAATTTTTGATGACTTAGAAGATCCATTCATAAGTTACTTCAATAATAAACATAAACATGTGCTGTTAGATTTTATATCAGCCTCACCTTCTGACCCAAGGTGCTTTCCTGCTCATTGGTATTGAAAACAGTGACATTTTCCAGATTGAACTGACTCTGCAAATTAAGACCTATTAAAAAAAAAAGATTTCAGAGCAAATCCACCGAACACCTAAACTTTTAAGAATGTAAGTTTGTTGTCATATAACTAAAACATATACAAGAATAAATCCATAATTAAGAAAAAGCTCAAGTTAGAAACAACACTACACTTGTATGTTCAAATTGTTCTAAAATTCATTTCTTAGATGCCTTTAGAGCACACGGAATTCTACATACAATATAGTTGATCCTTATTATTCATGAATATTTAAGAACAATTTTATATAATGCAGTATGTAGCAATGTATAATTTAGCTGAATCATAGATAAGAAAATTGTATTAATCAAAAAGTGAGAGTGATTAACAGTATTTACGGGAAATATATTGTAGTTGATGAGCCAGGTTTCTCACTGCCAGAGAACGAAGTTATACCTAAGCAGGTCTACTGGTGGCTGATAAACTCAGAATATTAGTGCAATCTCATGGTTTTTGCTGTGAGTTATTGAAAAATATATAGAGAGACAGTGTGATTCTGTGGTTTATAAGAAATATATCTGAAAATAAAAACAAAAAGAAGAAAAAAAAAGAAATATATCTGGTTTTCATCCTCAGTTCCTGGCTCACAGCTCCCAAACTGCTTGGAATTTCCTAAGTGACAAGAGCAACAATGGTGTCTCTTGTTATGTTAGAATCATTTCTTGTTATCATGACAGATTCTAATCCATTAAAAACTGGAAAAGACTTTCCTGCAAAGCATGTTTAATGTAAAAAAGCTTACCGGATTTCTCAGATAAAGGGAAAAGCCTGGCCAAAAAGAGTTGAATTCGTCCACAGAAAACTGTGTTCTGGGATTTTGATAATCTTCTTAAGAGATCTAATAATATATGGAAATAAAGGTTACACAGAAGAGATCATTCTTAACATTCATACCCACGTTTTTAATCAGTTTGTTAAGAGTATTTTCTTAAAGCAGCAGTTGTCAAGATGGGGGTAGAAACTGTCACAAAAATGCAACAATTAGAAATAAAAACAACTAGAAATAAAATAAGTTTAACATGGGCAAGATAAGCTTTACCTTTTTTTTTTCAACACATAACAATTTAATTTAAAGTCATTGATCAGTTTTAATAAATCAGATTTATTTAAAAATGAAGATGCTAGTCTATTTAACAAATTTTATTACTTGTGGTTAATTGAACCACCTGCTTTTCTGGCCATATTTACATATTAAAAAACAATCATTTACCACTGAATTACCTACCATTGCACATACGTAGTAAATAATTTTTCCCAGCAGAATAGAATGTATTCTGAAATTAAGACAGAAATAATCACTACAGTTCAGCAGTTGTTGCACATCCTTCAATAAGTCACAGGAAGTAAAATATTAAAGAATACTAACATGCACTGAGAATCTATTATGCCACTTTTGCTTTTCCTAGGCAAATAACATTTTCAATGAAATAAAAATATTTTCTTATATTTGGTATCTTATGATATCAAAACACAGTTTTAAACATGTGAAAGTATACATTTTCAAGTTGTTATTACTAAGTACTTCAACTTTTTCTCCATAAATGACTCTTACTTGCCTCTCCCAAGAGAGCAGAATACATAATTCTTTCACAGGAACAAACTTTTTAGCAATTAGCAGTATTAGAAATACAAGCAATAAAATCTACCCTCACAATTCTGGATCAATAGAAAGATAACATTAGTAGAAAAAGAATCTAAGGCACTTACTGATTTCCAAGTAGCAACATTTTTTTCCACAAAAGTGAATATTGTATCACATTGATCCAAGGGGAGACAATCCAAAACATCTCCCAACAATACAAAAGGTGTAGATGCGGTGCAAATACCTTTATGCCAAATTGAAGGGAAAAAAGTTTAAAATACTGTGGAATAAAATAGCACAAGAAAATCACTCTGAAGAATATCTTAAAGATACATTTTGTCAATCCTAAAAAGTCTTTAACAGACAAGAAATGAGAGGAACCTAAAAGTTCCCTAACAGGACATACTTAAGTTTTGGTATGTGCACTCAATAATGATGATAAGACGTCTAGCGCATTTGCTATATGTCAGGCACATTAACACATTTAACCCTATTAGGTAGGTAATATTCTCTCCAGTTTACAGAATGGTAAAACTGAGATACAGAGAAGTTAAATAACTTGCCCAAGATTATAGAGCCAGTAAGTGGTAGAGCTGGGATACGAACCCAGGAAGTCTGGCTTCATAGTCTGTTTTCTTCACCACTAAGCTATTCAAAAGAATATAATGCAGTCAATTAAAAATGGTGGTTATGATCACTATAACCTGGAATAATTAAGTGAAAAAGGCAGGATTCAAAACTGTATATATATTATGGTTATGACAATAAAAATCTTAAAAGACTAGTAAAACTAAAACCACATACCAAAATGAATGGTAGTTTTTAATGTACAGGAATTGTGACTAGTATTTTTACTTTTACTCATTTCTAACTGTTCTGCAATGTTGCTAAAGTGTCTTTGAGACTTGAAAAGATTATTTTTAAAAAAATAAGGTTTGATATTGATTTCAATTATTATTGAACATTTAAAATAATAGTACGTATTGTTTTAGAGGACAGAACAGTAAAGTTGTTTATTTCTAAATTCAACATTGTTAAAGTAAAGCAATAAATTAAATATTTTAAGAAAAGGTCATTTAGTCTAGCTAAATATACTTTTATCTCTCTGCTAATTCTGCCTTCTATTTTAAGGTAATATAATTACTAACACTTGTCAAATGTTTAAGAGAGTAGCCACTTAAGCATGGCATGTAAAATAAATAAAATAAAAATAAATAAAATAAATATTACTGTAAGCCCAACACAATCCATTAATATAGTATATTCAGAAAAAGGAGGCAATATTTCCAGCTCTGCTGTGCACTGGTAAGATCACATCTGGAATGTGACGTGAGGGATACTACCTAGAGTCAGTGGGTGGCATAAGGCAGCAGATTTCAACTCAATACAGGGGAAATCTGATAATCAAAACTACCTAACAGAAATAAAATACTTAGCTCCATCAATGAGTGTAGAGACTGAATGGTCACCTGCCAGGGATGTTATAGAGCAGTGGTTCTCAACCTTGGCTGCACATTAGAATCACCTGGGAATCTCTTTAAAATCCTGATTTCTGGGCCTCCAGAAATTCTGTTTCTTTGTTATGGGTGGGGCCACAACATTAGTAACAAAGAAACAGAATTTCTGGAGGATGAGGCCCAGAAATCAGGATTTTAAAAAGATTCCCAGGTGATTCTAATGTGCAGCCAAGGTTGAGAACCACTGTTATAGAGGGAAGGCAGGAAGCCAGAGATGAGACTGGACTAGATGACCTTTCAAGTCCCTTAACACTTAGACTCTGTAATACTATATGTATGCCCTGTACATCGAAGAGATTTGAAAGGCATACTCCCTGCCCTTAATTGCAGTGTAGTTTGGCATAACTTAACTCACATTTGATAATTATAGAACTTAAGATTCCTGTAAAAAATTCTGATTCAGTAAAAATCAATTTAAAATAAAGATCTCTGGTTATTCTGATGAGGTGGGTTATATACATGATCCCCCAGAACTTTCACAACCTGTGTCCCAGCCTCTACATAGGCCTCTTTGTTTCACTTTAACCTTGGCCACAAATAGATACCCTCTTCTTAGTTCTTAAACAACTTGCTATGTTCATACTTCCATGCCTTTTCTGCCTAAATAGTTCTCCTCCTACCATGTGGTAAATTCTTAATCTTTCAAAGTATAGAGTATACAGTGTATCTAAACCAGTGGTTCTCAAACTTCCTAATGCCACGACCCTTTAATACAGTTCCTCATGTTGTGGTGACCCCCAACTATAAAATTATTTTCGTTGCTACTTCATAACGGTAATTTTGCTGTTATGAATTGTAATGTAAATATCTGATATGTAGAATGTATTTTCATTGTTACAAATTGAACATAATTAAAGCATAGTGATTAATCACAAAAACAATATGTAATTATATATGTGTTTTCCGATGGTCTTAGGGGACCCCTGTGAAAGGATCGTTCGATCCTCAAAGGGGTCGCGACCCACAGGTTGAGAACCACTGCACTAAGGGGCTATAAGAATAAGTAAATTATAATAATAAGTAAATAATTTCTGTGCTTTTGAGTCAGTTACTCTTTCCTATAGAAAGTGCTTAAAGAATGAGTAGTTTCTTAGAGGAGAAAGGCAGGGCTAAGCATGAAATAAGCACGTGTGAAGACAAACCAGTCTCTGAGCCCTAGCCGGTGTGGCTCAGTGGATAGAGTGTTGGCCTGTGGACTGAAGGGTCCCAGGTTTGATTCTGGTCAAGCGCACATGCCAGGGTTGTGAGTTTGATCCTCAGTAGGGGATGTGCAGGA